GAGAGAGAGAGAGAGAGAGAGAGAGAGAGAGAGAGAGAGAGAGAGAGTATAGACAGACAGACAAATAAGGAATGACACAATAGAGAGAAAAGACAGGGAGAAAGTACGAAGACAAGAATGACAGATAAAGGGGAAAAGAAACAGGAAAGGGTGCTGGTGACGCAGCCTTCACATCCTAGAGGATTACGCGCGCAGAGCGCTCCTCAGGTCAACACTGTGAGACTCTGACGGCACATCACAAAGACAAGCGACACGTCTTCGGCACAGCGCGCCGTGCGCAACAGCGTGCGCCACCGTGCGGTCCAAGCGTTGCGCAACGAGAGGACGAGGATTAGGATGGTTGTGGTGGTGCGGGGGCGGTGGGCATCCCGGCGGGGGGTTCACAGTGGTGAGAGCTCGGCTGAAGCCCTTCACGGCTCCAACGCTACACAATGATCACCAACGCGCGCACACACAAGCGCGCACACAAACAAGCTTCCTGCGAGTTGCTCGTCATCAGTGTGACATGCAACAGGAGTTTTCTAAATAAAAGTCCTTCTGCTCCGATCTCATGTTGTTTTATGAGCGAGTGCTTTTAGTTTGAAGATAAATAGACAAGATTATATTTGCCTCTGCAAACAGCACGTCGCGTGAGGCCTATCTCGAAACATGCATCTCGCGCAGGTCAGCGGTCAATAATTCTTTTTTTTTTTCTTTTAAACTTAATGAAACACGGATCAGTCAATTTAGCTACTGCAGTCCATAAGGAATCTCGTTACGCAAAATGCTAAATATGAATCAAGGCCATTTCTCCTCACATTCTCTACAGAATCCACCATCTTCCTTAGAAAAGAATGAAAACTATACAGCAGAGCAGATAATAATGCACACTCTTGGACAACCACGTCATGACCGATCCGAACAACAGGTGCGTGTGTTGGGAAGAGGGGGGGGGGGGCGGACTTTTATGTCTAAATATGGACATTACAAAATAATTCAACAACAACAACAGGCTGTAATGAGCATATTCATTTCCCGTTGAAGGTCCATTTTTGGTGTCATTCCCCCAACTTACCTCTGAGGGTGATAAGTGTCTGAAGGTGTTTAATTAATCAAATCCGTTGATCGATGCGAGCAGCTGCATCCAGTTTAGAGACTAGAGGTGGACTCCTCAATCAGCCTGGTTGATGGATTCCAGGTTGCTCGTTGTGTAATTAGGGAATTATTCCTTTATTTTTTGAAACGCAGTGCGCATATCTCTTCCCATCGCAAATAGATGAAAATGCTTTCCTGTTTTGTTAGATATGAAACAGCTGCTGATCACCGCGCATTCACTCGAGTTGCACTTTTCACCAAACTCGCATCTCTTTTTTTTAAATGTCTGATCCCACGTTGTATCCGGTTATATTCACGGTCAATGAATTCTAGTCATTAAAAAAACAAACAACCTTCCAGTGCACAGGTCCGGCGCCTCAAAGTATAAAATCCATGGATTTGAGATCCGCACGCACGTGTGCGGAGCGTCGGTATATGATTGATGAGAGCAGACCGGTTGGCCGAAAGAGACGCTCCGACCCAAATCAATACGCTGGAGAGCAGGAGAGCAGCGATTGGCTGCATTCACTCTTCTTTTTCTTCCTTATTATGTTTATTGTGTCTTTTTTTGAACCATGCAACGACCTGAACCGTTTAGAAACAATAACAGGGAGAATTTCTTCCACGGTGTCATTTCTCAGCTCAAAATTTAAAAAAGTGAACCTGTATCCAGCAGAAACAAAATAAGATAATATAAGAAATATAAGAAATAAGGCCTTCATTACCGACCACAAAAATACAACGTTGTAGAATTATGTTTCTTTGACTTATTAGCTCTCCATTTTCAGACAGTTTTACGTTTTTTTTCCTTCTTCAATTTTTGGGTGTCATCAATTTACCCACGTTTTCATTGACAGCCAGGCTCCAAAAGCAATACACCAGTGTATCTAATTGGCTTTTATCTGCTTCTGGCAAACACATGTTGTAGAGAGGGAGACAGGAAGCAAATAAATTGAGCATGAAGTTCATTATTAGTTTTCTACACTGCTGTGTTGATTTTAAGGTGACTGTTAGTCTATTCCAGCTGGAAACTGTCTTATTCCAATGATTCAGCACCAGTTCAGACTACATCGACTGATGTCTAGCAGAGACGAGACCAGCAACCCCATGATGAATGACTGAATGAATCAGACAGTCTGCAGGTGCCTGTTTCTCTTACAGGATAATGGAGCCTGTTTTGGAACTGGTAACGTTGCCGTAAGTGATGAGTTATGTTCGGATAGAGCCGAGTCAAGAAAGTCACACGGGCTGTTGCAGAATGAAAAGTCCCCTGTGAACCAGGACAGTGAAGAATGAAGGGTCCTTATAGCTGCTTTGTGCATGCGGGATTGTGAATAAAACACGCAGCCAGTTTCTTAGGTTGGCTGTGCATTTATGCAATAAGAAGGTTCAATTAATGTGGTTTTGGCTACTGGAAAAATTAGCAGCGGCATTTATAGATGTAGATATCTGGGAGCAGAACCCTGAGCAAATGTGGTGTAACATCTCCCAGGAAGTGTGAGTGTATGGTTGATCCCACATGAAGGAGAAGCAGAGGAAGTTGTTCTGCTCGCCCTCCTCATTTTGAGCCCGAATAAGAAGCTGTGAGCGTTTCACATAATTCCCCTTATGTAGTATTTACCGAGCTTGTTCCTGAAGTTTGTCACACCTGATTGCTGACCTACAACTTCTTCATTGCTCTTTTGATACTCAAGTGTTTCAGATAAATGTAGAGATTACATTAACAGTTAAGAAAAGGTTTTACATTTTACAATTAAGCAGGTCCCTCACTCACAGGAAGCCATGCTGCCAGATGTCTTTGTTGTCACAAAGCATTTAGTTGTTGATTTGCCGGTCTAAAGACATTCCAATGTCCAAGATAAAACTGGGAGGAAATTGGTTGATGACTGCACCAAGTTTCTGTCATTGGTCGCACCATTTCAGTGACTTCAATGTGTAAGAACCAGCTTCATTGAAATACAATCAGTGACATCTGGTTTAAACGTGGGTTAATTGCAGGATGGATGTCTAAAATGTCATTTAATGCACCCCAGTTTTCCCCAAGACATCTTTTGACCTGCTAATAAAGCACTTAATCAACTCTCGCTGAGCATTTGAGCCATTTAGTCCTTGGATATGACTGCTGTGATATGCACTGTCCCTGTCGTTTTAAACTGTTTGAATATGACTTAACGCTAAAATGAAGAATAAATAGTGGAACAGATTTTCTGTTAAATGTCTGGTTGATTTCTCCTGAAGGCTACAAGGCTGATTGCAGAGCACTTTCTGCACTCCCACTCTTTCTTCATTCCTATTCCTGTCACTTCAATCAAATGAATTCCTGTGTCTGACAAGGTATTGTACATGTAACAGTGCTAATCTAGATTTTATGGTAATCTGCCCACTAGAAACACCAGAGGCCAAAAAAAAAAGGCCAAAATTGCAACTCACTTTTTTACTGTCAAGGTTACAACAATTCTGATTCAAATCTTTTAGGATATTTAGAGGGCTCTCAACATGTGCGACCTTGTGAGTCAGCACGCAGGAGGCCAGTTGGGGCTGGCAACGAAAGCAAGCCAATCCCCATAAACCCCCATGTTAAAATGCTTTACAGCGGAAATAAACATGTTGACAGTCTGGTCCAAAAAACGTGTTGTGGTCTCTATTGCTAACTCCTGTTCAAATGATATTAAGGCTCATCAGTATGCATTATTAAGTGGCTTAGATTGTCAGGCGGGTGCCGAATGCACAAATTGAAGGAGCTAACCGGATTGCATTTCACTGGAGCAGTACCTTGTACGATTTCATATGATGAATAAATCGATTGATTGATAGAACTGTGTTCCAGTTTTTTTACTGCGAGTTAAATTCTAGTATTACTTCATTTGTATCACGTTACAGCACTAATCAGCAGGTATCAGTGTCTGGCTGGTCAAAATTAGCATCCCAATTAAAATCACAGTTATCAACGCAAATTATGGAACCAAGCTCCACCGTCTTGTCCAAATAAGGTCACATCTGGTTCCAAAAAAGCCCCCAAATGGCGACGGCCGGAGTCACCCACTTCACTTTGGCTCCTCAGAAACCAACGCGTGACGTCACAGACACCACGTCCATATTTTAAACAGCCTATGAGTCAGACGTGGTTGTGACCTTTCGGTTATTGTGTAGCTTCAGACTTGTCAGACATACTGCGGCTCCATTACGAGTAGTTTTCTCCAATAATTACGAAATAGCTTTTATTGAGACGACACAAAGCCCACTGCACTGCAAAACAGTGGCTCGCTGTAAGGGGTTATTTTTCTACGAGCTGTATTTTACCAGGAATGTCTTTTGAACTCAGTGTAGGAATATCCGTATTCAACTTCATCCTGGCCAAGAAGGTCCACAAGCACTTAATCTACAATCATACCACACCGATAGAGCATCAACGACAGCACAGACACGGTGAGATAACTGCCACATACTGTGGCTTCACACCAAAAGTCTCCAGTATGCAGAGGAACTAAGCCGCAGCTAAAACAGTTCCAGCCTTTTTAATCATTTACAATATGATGCAAGAAACAGCAAAAATGAAAAAATGCTCCACATACACATTATTTTGATGCTGTGAGACGTCTGTGCTTGGTGTACTGTAAACCAATGCAGCCTTTTTCACTTAGTTATATAACAGTATAACAATATTTTTATAGTGTAGTGTACTGTGTAATCAGAGCATACGGAAGAACAAAATACACTCTGATTTGCCTGATTGTAGGTTCCAATCACCCAGGACTATTATTTACATGCAGGTTGATTTGAAGACATATTTTAGGAATAACCTGTAACTTTGTAACTTAGTTCCTTTTCAACAAAGCACACCATTTACAAGTCAACT